GTTTAAGCGATGTTTTTCTTTTATTTTAAATTAATTACGGTACTACCCTAAAACCCTACTCAAATTTAGAATTTGTGCGTGAAAAAGGAAATTTGGAATGCACCGTTATTGTTTTAACTCAATCGTGCATGAATTATGAATGATAATGTATGCATTACAATGAGAGAAAAGAAGAAGGGCTTTCCATCCATGTATATCCCAACAGGTACATTATTCATTAGAATTGTAAATTCATGCCTTGAAAGCCGGTTTGGTGTTTCTTTCTTGGATATGCTTGTATATATATATATATATATATATATATATATATCATGAGATTGGAAGAAAAACAAACTAAAAATGTTGCCAAACGGACACAAGTTGAAAATATGGAGGTCTAACTGAAAATCAAGCCATGAAAGTAGCTGAAACCAGTGCATGCAGACGACTTGTTAAATATGACGTTAAAAAATCAAGCATAAAAGGCAAGATTACTTAAGAAAAATCTATACAAAAAATAGTGAAACATCTTTACATTACGAGAGAATAAATAGCCCCTGCAATGTCCATGAGAAATTCATCACAAATCTATATTGAAATACAAATTTATTCAAAATAACTCATAAAAACGAACTTTTAAACGGTTGATATATATATATACACCTAAATGATAAGAATGGCAACAAACATAATAAACATTACAGTAGGAATGAACATAGAATAAATAACGGTACATTCTTAACTTAAAATTAATTACATGTTGGGGGGGGGGGGGTTAAGAAAGTCCTAACGCCTTTTTCGGGATAATCCCCAAGCGAGATTGGGATAAGATAATATTAATCTAGGAGCTATACGATTAATTAGGCCAAATTAGTTAACATTACAATGAAAACAACAACTACAACACAAGCACTAAGAAGCAACAACATCCCCAAAATCTAATTATTTGGGACACGTCCAAGTTGCCATATATAAACATTATTTTGAGATTGAGAGAACAGCTCCAGTTTTAAAAGCATATTAAAGGGAGTGTATCATGGCAAATACTAGTGAACGTCATCTACGTCTTCTTTTGCACGTAAACGAATGGACTTCATTAGGGATTTTTAGATTTGCACAACGACAACGTGGATTCCTACGATCGACGTCCTTTTAATGCACTGCCTTGAATGGACGTTACACGTATCAGTCCACGCAAATCTAAAAGTCCCTATTAACTGGGTCAGCGCAAGCTAGCGTTCACGAAACAGACCGAAGTTCTCCTCACGCTTCGGGTTCGCGTATGTTGCACGCACGTGAATGCTGTGGTCGCGTCGTCCGTAGTCGTATTATACCTGATTGGCCCCGGGTAGGGCCACGGGAAAGACACATAGTCTCGTCATGACACACTCCCTTTAAGCAGCTAAGTTTTCATGAATGAATGAGAGTGGTTGTAATATGGTGAAAGGGTTGTAATATGGTGAAAACTTTTGAAAACTTGGTTGTAGAATTTGATATCCTAATGAGTGACCAGCGCAAGTATGATTCCCTGATGAATGCGTTATACTTAGATTGGTTTATTAATCATCAAGATGTTCATGGGAATATTTTTGATAAGATTGTCTTTGAGTTGCTGAGGAAGTTGAAAGTGCCTAGGTATGCTTTTTCGATACTACGTAGCAAAGATAAACCATTACAGGCAAAGATTGGTAATAAGTGGAAAGAGTGGCTTGGTTTGGATAGAGATGAAATTGAAGGGTCTGTTATACACAAAAATAATTTCAAATGCACTATAGAAACTCAGTTAAGGTCTTTTATTTTAAAATATTTCATAATGCCATAGCCCTAAACTCATTTTTATATAAAATTGGAAGAAGGGATAGTCCTTTGTGTTACTTCTGCCAGGAGCTTCCTGAAACCTTGATTCATATATTTTGTAAATGCACAGCAGTTGCTCCAATATGGAAAAAGCATAAAGATTATATTGATAATATGACGAAGGAGACAACACTGTACTTGGGTTCGCTCATATATTTATTATTGATATCGGTGGCAGGCATGATGTATGTATTCATTTCTTTTATTCCTGTACCTCAATTTTTATATTATTCGATGTAAATTTCAAGAGGTAGAATTACATTTTCAGGGTTTCCTTTCTTTTGTAAAAATGAAACAGAAAATTGAATGTGAATAGGAGAGAAGAAAGGTAAACTGAGCTCCCATTTTAGTAAATGGTCACTTTATTTCTTGTAGATTTTTTTCCCCTAGCATTTCATGAATTTTCTACTTCCTTATTGTCAATTATGTTATTCTATTGTTAATGTTACTGTATTTCAGTGGAGCCTCTCCGTGACGGATCCAGTCTCGGTTTCTAACATGAAATATAACCTTGATGCATGTCAGGGTGAGCCTTACGTTTAACTGGCTAGAGTGAGGCATTGTGTTGTGCCGTTTTATGTTGTGTTGTCCTGTTATGTGCCGTGTTATGTATCAATTTACTTTATTGATATATATTGAAGAAAAAAAAAGTTTTCATGAATGCAGCCATTAACACATTTGTTTTTTTGACTGTATGGCTGAATGTCATGGATATTGATGTATGTATTTATTCTTTCTTCACTTGTTTTTGTGGGAGAAATTCACAAAGCACGGTATTTCTTTAATTTTGTACCATATTTTGTTTCAAGAGGATTTAAAAATAGAATTTAATTCAACATTTTAATACATGATTAATCTAAGTGATATCTCTTCTGAAGATGAACACGATTTCACAATCTGCAAATATAATAGAAATAAGTAGTTGGCTTACATATTCAGGTCATTAAAGGTAATTAAAGGTTGAAAATTGGTGGATAGTGATTCTTTACAATTTGTTAAATATATGGGGATGCCCCTGTGGATGTATTATAAGCACTAGAAAATTTAGCCCCTAAAACAATTCTACTTTCGAGAAAAATCGAATATAAAAATGTACCGGTGCTCCCTAGGTAAATTTTGATAAATTTCACATAGCGCCTTCGGCCGTACAATGGTAGCTGCAACCATGACAATCTCAGAATATGTAGTTGTAGTTGTGATAAGTAGTTGGCTTACATATTCAGGTCATTAAAGGTAATACAAAATTTTGGGAAATTTTGAAAATTGGTGGATAGTGATTCTTTACAATTTGTTAAATATATGGGGATGCCCCTGTGGATGTATTATAAGCACTAGAAAATTTAGCCCCTAAAACAATTCTACTTTCGAGAAAAATCGAATATAAAAATGTACCGGTGCTCCCTAGGTAAATTTTGATAAATTTCACATAGCGCCTTCGGCCGTACAATGGTAGCTGCAACCATGACAATCTCAGAATATGTAGTTGTAGTTGTGATAAGTAGTTGGCTTACATATTCAGGTCATTAAAGGTAATACAAAATTTTGGGAAATTTTGAAAATTGGTGGATAGTGATTCTTTACAATTTGTTAAATATATGGGGATGCCCCTGTGGATGTATTATAAGCACTAGAAAATTTAGCCCTAAAACAATTCTACTTTCGAGAAAAATCGAATATAAAAATGTACCGGTGCTCCCTAGGTAAATTTTGATAAATTCACATAGCGCCTTCGGCCGTACAATGGTAGCTGCAACCATGACAATCTCAGAATATGTAGTTGTAGTTGTGATAAGTAGTTGGCTTACATATTCAGGTCATTAAAGGTAATACAAAATTTTGGGAAATTTTGAAAATTGGTGGATAGTGATTCTTTACAATTTGTTAAATATATGGGGATGCCCCTGTGGATGTATTATAAGCACTAGAAAATTTAGCCCCTAAAACAATTCTACTTTCGAGAAAAATCGAATATAAAAATGTACCGGTGCTCCCTAGGTAAATTTTGATAAATTTCACATAGCGCCTTCGGCCGTACAATGGTAGCTGCAACCATGACAATCTCAGAATATGTAGTTGTAGTTGTGATAAGTAGTTGGCTTACATATTCAGGTCATTAAAGGTAATACAAAATTTTGGGAAATTTTGAAAATTGGTGGATAGTGATTCTTTACAATTTGTTAAATATATGGGGATGCCCCTGTGGATGTATTATAAGCACTAGAAAATTTAGCCCCTAAAACAATTCTACTTTCGAGAAAAATCGAATATAAAAATGTACCGGTGCTCCCTAGGTAAATTTTGATAAATTTCACATAGCGCCTTCGGCCGTACAATGGTAGCTGCAACCATGACAATCTCAGAATATGTAGTTGTAGTTGTGATAAGTAGTTGGCTTACATATTCAGGTCATTAAAGGTAATACAAAATTTTGGGAAATTTTGAAAATTGGTGGATAGTGATTCTTTACAATTTGTTAAATATATGGGGATGCCCCTGTGGATGTATTATAAGCACTAGAAAATTTAGCCCCTAAAACAATTCTACTTTCGAGAAAAATCGAATATAAAAATGTACCGGTGCTCCCTAGGTAAATTTTGATAAATTTCACATAGCGCCTTCGGCCGTACAATGGTAGCTGCAACCATGACAATCTCAGAATATGTAGTTGTGATATATAGTTATCATACGGGAATAGTTAATCAGTCGATTTTAGTCAAGAAAAATTGTTTATAGCTTAATTAACATCTAGAACTTTAGAGGGAGCTATACAACATTAAGAGTTTACTATTTACAATTTCATAATTTTAGACTCGATTTCAACCGCGACAACGATCACTGAATATTGTAGGATCGCATATGCTTCAAATATGTTCATTTGGACCTAATTCGTGACCCCATACCAAAACTTTGTATTACCTTTAATGAAAAGAAGGAACTACAGCGGCCTCACTTCTGATCCTTGGACAACTCCTATATTAATATCACACATCTTTCATTTATAATTGCGTACAAAATACAAACTGATTGCTGTCACTGAAATAATTTTTTTGGCCATGTTAGCGTTATCCCGTGGATACATACCATGACGATAAATATCGTAGATAATTTTTTTATGGTTAATACAATTGAACGCTTTATATAATAACCAAGTTCTTTCAATTCAATTCAATTCAATTCAATTAATTTTATTTCGCAATATATAAAATCAAAGTATACAAGGTAACAGTAAATTTGAATACATTTACAAAGGTTATATGCGGGGCTTTCCGTGAAGGTTGCAAAAACCTGTAAAATTGGATCATCAATAATAGAAATACAAAATATTAAAAGCACACAACAAAACATTAAGTAAAATAAGCAAAGTAAAAACACTTCAACTGTCTTTAATACGAGAGAAAGTGAAGTAAAAACAAATATATATATAAAGGGGGGAAAGGAAATACAAAACATTATTAGCACACAACAATAAATTAAGTAAAATAAGCAAAGTACAGACACTTTAACTATCTATAATACGTGAGAAAGTGAAATAGAAGAAAACAATATATATATATATAAAGGGGGCAATAAAAAACAACAATGAAAGGGGTTCAGATAAAACAAAATGAACAACTGTGATGATTAATAACTATTTAGTAATAAGATTTTATATGTTTTCTAAAGGAAGATGTGAATTGTGATTTCGTTATTACTTGGGGAATCATATTCCACTGTTTAGGACCTAGATAACTTATTGATTTAGCTTTATAACTAGACTTAACAGACCATAAATGGAATTTGTTGCAAAATCGGGTATTATAATTTTGAATTTGACTATTATATTGAAAGAGGTCTGAAATAAACATTTGGTATCTTAATTTTAAATTTAAGAGGAGCCATATTTGTCGAATTACCGTGTTTAAAAACGAAATGTAGAAACCATTAATATATTTACACCAATTTTTTTCTACAAATAATTCTGCATTAATTTGTATTATATATATATAACTGTCTTCTAGTTTGTAAGGCAATACCTCCATTCATCTCATTTCTTGTGAATTGGAACAACTTCAGATTTTTTTTTTTTAGTTCAGGAAACACACGTTCTTCCAAATACAAGAGTATTGTAAATTTCATATCAGTATGAGTGTACAATCATTGCATATGTTCAAACAAACCTGTCGTAGATTCAAATAATTCTGTCATTAGAAAGAAAGAACAAGTTGCTCATGATTTAAACTCTCTGGTGGAACATAAACAACTCAAGAAACTTTGTTTGAACAGGGAACAAGCTAGCAATACTTAGATATCTGCAATAATTACATTTCTCCTCTTATTTCTAGTTTAAACTGAGTGTAGAAAGTACTCATAGTATGTTCTAATCAAACCTTACAATAATTTTGAAAATTAAATAATAGTTATAAATGAAATTCCATTTTTAACTCTTCTTTTTAACAGACTCTTCTGTGATGTCTAGGTCAATTAGATTAATTTGGCGTTGTTAATAACAACTAACTTTGTTATTTGTTGTAGACAGGGGTAATACTTGTTGTAATGTAATATTACTTGTTGTCGGTCTTGTTAGCCGATGTGTTTAAATAGGGGGGTAGTTACCGCAAGATGCATTAGTTGACCTAAGATTTCGTGGCACGGGGCGGAGGGAAATTTCGAAATGTCATCTGGATTTTGGAGTGCCATTTTGCTACGAAATTATCTGACAAATCAATTAAATAAGCCCTTGCTTCATATTTGTCTTCTTCCTGTTTACTTTCCCATTTTATCTGTCCTTTTCTGTGCATTCCTTTTCTCCATCCCCATATTTTTTGTTTTCTTCTTCTCATTGTCTGCTTACCATATTTCCCAATTGTTTGGTGAAGTGTGTGTGTGTGTGTGGGGGGGGGGGGGGGGGGGGGGGGCACGTGTCCCATTTGCCCCCTTTATCTGGCATTTGCATGCAGTGTAAATTTTTAAGAATGTTATGTATCTAATTATATATATATATATCAGGAGAGGGGGTCCTAAAAGAACCACTATCGATTGAAGCAGTTTCAGCCTAAATTTGCTATGGATTTACTTCCATGGCCCCCATGAACCACCACGCAAAGCCGGATCCGCTTCCAAATCCTCATCCGGATACCGCATGGGAACCGAACCTTCGTAATACTCCTCTAATTTCTGTACAAGCTCGTTGACCACATCCGGATACTTTTCCGAAAGATCGGTTTGCTCCAGAGGGTCGGCGGTTATGTTGAAGAGCCATACCTTTTGGTTCGGTTTCTCTGTCGGGTATATCGTGTCGAGTCCGGATTCGGGTGGCGGCATCCACACGTTGTGTGTCGTTACTATTGTCACAAAGAGAGGTTTGGATAGAGAAAAGAATGTTTGTAATGTCGACAACGACGACAACAACAATTATAAAAACAAGGATATAGATAAAAATGATGATTCTCAAAAGGTACAGATACAAATAATAATACAAAAGTAATGATGATGATAATGATGATGATGTCTCCAAAACTACTAGTAGTAGCAGTAGTAGAAGTAGTAGTAGTATTAGTAGAAATAGTAGCACAATGTTGTAATAGTAAATGTACAGCAGTATAAGTAGTAGTAGTAGTAGTAGTAGTAGTAGAAATAGTAGCACAATGTTGTAATAGTAAATGTTAAGCAGTATAAGTAGTTGTTGTAGTAGTAGTAATAGTGGTTCCGTAGTAGAAGTAGTAGAAGTAGTGGTGTTGGAAGTAGGGTAGTAGTAGTAGTAGTAGTAGTCGCATTATCATTATTAGTACTGCTCTTAGTAGTAGCCGTAAGCGCATTCTGACGAGAGCTCAAGTTTACCTTTAATATTACGAAAATGTTCGAATAACTTTAAGATAATTTTGACTCACCGTCATAGTCTGCGCCCGTCTTTATTTTCCAGTCTCCAACGCGTAGCGCAGCTCTTATTGATGTATCAAATTTCTCGTTCGCAGGTTGCTTTTCTTCAGGTCGATATTGTGCAAGATTTCTGTTCGAGGGGACGAAGCTGTACCACTGAAAAATTACAAATGCAAAAGTAACATATTTTATTCACATATAAGAATCCCTTGTCTTAAACCCTTTGCTCTTTCTTTTTCTTTTTTCCCTTTTTTAAACAATTCATACATTTTGTATGTAAGCATAATGCAGACATTTCCTCGGCCTGTTGTAGAGAAATAAACTAAGCTGTTCAAAGGACACTGTTACAAAAGAGAGAAAGTTGCGTTTTTCAAAGAATCGTAATTCCGAAAAAAAATGAAATGGGGTTTATCATTCCTAAAATAGAATAAGAGTTTGTTGTTCCGAAAATTCAACCAGGGATGTTCACAATTTCGGACTTATGAACCCGATTTAATTTGTCGGAATTACGAACCTTACCTTCTTTTGAGAAATACTAATGTGGTGAATCTTAACAAGGTCAACGGCCAAAGGTCACGGTGATTAGCACCCTTTTCTTAAAGAGACCGTGAATGCATTCATTAATAATGATGACGATGATAATAAAACAAATAGTAACACAAATGTAATGAGAAGAAGAATTAAAATACGCATTTGGAACTAGTTGAAGAAAAGAATTGAACAAAATACTTTTTTTTTTTTTAACTGGAGCTTTTATCGAAAGAGTACATGATAACAGATTCATATAGACCATCAGAAATCCAGTAACTGCTATGAGTTAAAGTAAAATGATTCGCTAGATTCACAAAAAAGTAGAGGGAAAAAGAGTGCCTGATGGCTAGGTACCTGATAGAGTTCCACACATCGAAGCCGTCCAAGGGTTTGGTTCCATTCAACGCTCCACCTGCAATACCTGCTACAATAGTCGGTAGCCAGTCGCTCACATGCATCAAGTCATGATTGACCGTTCCTTTGACTGATGTTGGTAGAAGCGGACTGTGTACGAACCCTACTCCATGAATCCCTCCTTCCCACATGTTTCCTTTGCTTCCCCGTAGTGGCCAATTGTTGGCACCGCTTTGGATTGGACCACCGTTATCTGATCAAGAACATAACAGGAAAACTAAATTAAATAGGTGATATGTATAGCTAGGTACGTAATAATATAATAATAATAATAATAATCTTTAAAGTCCACTCCAAATTAGTTAAACCGAAATGGAAATTCTTTTTGCCCAATTGATCGTGAGCCCGGCAGCCACTGAGCAGCGCCAGATGGCCGTTGCTATATCCCTTATTGTTGAACGCCAAACAAGGTAGCAGCAACTCCCGTCTTTTAACGTCTTTTGGTGTGACGCGGCCGGGGTTCGAACCCACGACCTCCCGGTTTTGAGGCGGACGCTCTACTGACTGGGCCAACACACCTAATTAGTGATGTGCATTCACACACTGCAAAACAATAATATTCATTTCTACATTATCCGTACTATCCTGCTGAAATTCTCTCTCTGCCGCAGAGGGCAGTACCGGCCATGAGTATATTTGGCAAAGGCACTTCCGGTTCCCATGCAAATACAATGCCTTGGCTCAGGACTGGCAACTCCGTTGTAGAAATAATAGTTACGGAACCAATAAAATATAAATAACAAGTTATGATGGTGCCTACATATATCTCATCAAACCATCGGGGGAGTTTATGAAACCTGAACGATAAATTAGTAAATTAAAGAATTAGTTGACACCGCTATGGAAGCCGAAAAAACATTGTCTTAGCGTCTTCCCGGGTATATCTGTGCATGTGTTAACTAACCTCTCTATTTTGTGGGGAGAAAGGTCGTCATCTACTGTCGAACATGATATTTGCGGTAGGGTCAATTATTGTTCAGCGATTTTGTAAAAATCGTTTACTTGTATCTTTGATATTTGATGTTTAAGTGTTGACATTAGTTGTAATGTGTATAAATAAAGTTCTGTCAATCTCCGAGAATGGAATTTGAAAATGCCTAAACTAATCACTTGATTATTCAAACATATTTGTGGCTTTCACCCAGTAAATGAGATCGATTGATCGATCTGTAATTGAAAAAGAAGTCAGAATTTTTTTTGGAAACGGCGGGACTTGAACCTCCATCTACTGCTAGCCGGGCAGCGACTCTACCACCAGGCCATCACTGGTCCACGGCACAGTTACGATGAACTAGTCTAGAAACAAATACCCAATCATTTGATGTTCTTAACATTATTTTTCCTTTGTTGTTAAATTGCTGTAATAAAGTGTACTGTCTCTTTAAGCAATAGATAGCTACGAACCTACTGGAAAAACTAAACAAATAACAATTTTTGTTTGAGAAACAATTATTTTGAACTTCTAGATTTGTTGCCAATTTAAGAGTTTTAAAGCATATTTTCCTTTTGTTCTTCGTCTTAAAATGAAATTATGGTCACGCAGCATAGATAGACAAGGTGTACATCTTTAAATGAAAACATGCCCTTTCTACTCATCAGGGAGGTGTTTCAAAAAGATCCAAAGTCAAACCTAACTCTAAGTTGGACTTAAATATTATGGAAAGCCATTTGTAGCCTTGAAATAATATATATTCAGAAGCAAAAATTCAATTATTTTATACTTTTTATATATAATTTCCCCATCAAGAACATGAAATCTCCTTGATGATAGAAAACACGAATGATTTGAATCAACATTTTATGCCTTTTAAAATAACTTTTACAAAATATGTTCATAGATGCTAACGGCTGTACATAATTGTTAAGTCCAACTCAGAGATAATTTCAACTTAGGATCTTTGTGAAACACCCCCTTTTTAGTTTTTGTTGTTGTTTGGGCTCTGAAGAAAAAAACGATATTGAGCCAAATCACAAAATACGAAATAAGTATCTGGATAGGGTCAAAAAGTAAATGGAAATACGTGCATTTCTTCACCTGTTGAGAATATTATGATGGTATTATCGTAAAGACCAGCGTCCTTGAGAGCTCTTGTGACGTTTCCTATACCTTCATCCATACAAGATACCATACCAGCATAGGTACGTCTGTTTTCGTCGGCGATGTTCTTGTATGGGTCCATGTATCTGTCAGGTACTTGCAAAGGTAGGTGTACAGCTTGATATGCCAGGTACATGAAGAGTGGCTTTAAGGTACAAATAGAAGAGAGGGAAAAAGGACAAAAGAAAGAATAACTATAATGCTAAATTAATCCATAGAAATATGTTTCTTGAAAGGTGCCTAAGTTCTGAGATGGGGAGACTTTTCTACCACCTACAGTAATTACTGTACATGAACAATGGCTTTAAGGTAAAAACACTAAACGAGAAAAAAATGAAAAAGAACGAATCAAATTAATGCTCAAATAATCCGTAGAAACATGTTCTCCTGCAAACTAGCTTAGCTCGAAGACATAAAGATTTTCTTATCCTACTAAAGTAAGTCAGATACAGGAAGAGTGCCTTATTAAGATGAAGTTGAGTTCTGGTCGTGCGATTGCATTGTGAAAGAAACGGTGTGGAATCGACCAGAAAAGGTTGATCATCTAGCATATAAGAATTTGTGTGTATTGCAAGGTTCTGGAATCACCAAAATGATAAGAAACTTTGGCCAAGTCTTGGTAAAGTTACAAACACTGTACACAGAAAGATGAATATAGGACTACACGAACACCGTGGCGTATGTTACGATGTTACATGACATATTTAGAATAGGAAGGCATTTGAAGAGCCATGCTTTTCAGGGAATATGTCTTATCTGATGTTCTTCCACACTTGCATACTAAGAATGATAACGCTCACAAATTATTTGTCATCTCTTCCCAGAACTCAACCTTCTCTTTAAGATTTACTTTTAAATAGAGTGTGCCAAACACCTTTCAAAAAGTTTGTGTTAGAAAGCATGTATAAAACCAACTTTAACAAAAAATCACTCTTAATTTATGGGCTAGGAGAATGAAGAAAATTCAGAAAAACTGCCCTTCATTCTCCTAGCCCATAAATTAAGAGTGATTTTTTGTTAAAGTTGGTTTTAAATGAAAATACTGAAGCAGACGAGTAAGCTTAAATTTTGAAGAAGAAAAAAATGGAAAAAGATAGTTTTTAGGAAACGAGTTCTTGAAATACTGTCCTATTCCAGATTCAGTCCGTTCTTTGTTTTTATAACGTGGACCGCCACGTGTGACATCCTTTTAAGGTAATGTGACGTCCTTTTTAAGGCACTGCCGGGCACGACCCAGTGCCTTAACACAATGTCACACGCGGCAGTCCACGCTCTCGGCGTGTAAATCTAAAAGTCCCGATTATGTCCACGTAAACGTACCTTTGTCTTGTCATGCTTCTCTATGGCATCAATTGTTTTATTCGTGAAGAGATGGGTGGAATACTGTCCTTCGTAATCGAAGACGGTGTCTTGTTCGCGTGTAGGTCGTGTCCTGATAGGGTCTTGGTACTGCCATCGTCTGCATTGTAGACCTCGCAGTGGCCCGAGTGCGTGTAGTGGTCCTCACCTCCTACCAGGAACCCTGATCAAAAAGAAAGAAGAAAAAAAAAGGTCGATGGTGGTGGTTATTTAACTGACTGTTAAGAAAGTATAAATGCTTGTAAGTAAGCAACCAGACGGCCGACTGCTTTAGGTCCTCTCCGAGGGACCTGGTAATGAGGATTAATACCTTACCAAAGGGCACTAGCGCATCGCCTTGGTTTCGAACCCGGGTCACCGGATTACGAGACCACTGCTCTGCCGACTGAGCTATCGCGCCTCAGTGATAAGACAGTGAAACCTGGGGGGGGGGCATTTCAGAAAACTTGTCATCCGTGACAAATGACAGTTTTTGTTATAAGCTACTGAAATCCTTGCTGCTGATTTGTTACCAACAGATTTGTCACTGATTTGTGTCATTTGTCATTGGAAAAATGCTTTGTGAAACGGGTCCCTGTATATAAAAACCGCTCAAGGGAGACACGAAATGTGGTCTTTATAGGCAGGTGGTCTTTATGTACAGGTTCTTTTAGCATAATTTATGTTTATAATTAATTACTTTCGATGGAAACAGAAAATGTGGTCTTTATAGACAGGTGGTCTGTCTATACAGGTTGATGCTAAAGCACGTTTGACTCTAGCTGTTACTTATCATTATACCATTGCAATTTGTTTTAGTGTTATTATTATAATTTAATTATAGTATTACTATTATTGTTTGTTGTATTGTTATTGTAAGTATTGTTAGCATAATTATTATTATTTCAATCATTAATGTTCTCATGTTGCTATTGTTATTATCAGCCATGTTATTTTTATCACAATAATAATCAACACTATAATAGTAGTAATACTAATAATAATACTAATAACAATCATAGCTATTATTTCTAAGATTATTACTATCCTCATTATTGGTTTTATTATTATAAATATTATAGCCTATCATTAATATTATTACTGTTATTTGTTTTGGGGATAAATTATCAGTAGTATTATCATTATCAATACATGTGCATTTCTGTTGTAATCATCATTTTAGTAGTAGTCACTATGAACATGGCGGACAAAGAAAGAAGACAATTAAAGTATACAGTTCCTCATTCTACCCTCAGCAATTGCTGTGATGGACAAAGGAACATCCCTTCATTGCTATTATGTAAAGATGTGTAGAACAAGTGTCACATGCATATTCATCTGTTCTACTTAGTTTACATAATAGCAGTGGAGGGATGTTCCTTTGTCTACCACACGTGGAGGGTAGAATGAGGAACTGTGTATTTTGTCCTCTTTCTTTGTCCATCATGTTCATAGTGAGTAGTATAGTAGTATATTTATTCTGATTACTAATTTAGATAAGCCCTTACCAAAGAAAGAATCGAAGCCCCTTTCGGTGGGCGTGCAAGCATCCAAGTAGAAGCCGATATGCCATTTACCGACCATGTTGGTGGCGTATCCACTTTCCTTAAGTTTCTGCGGGAGCGTGACTTCATCCAACGGGAGGCAGTTCGGCTGGGCATGTCTGATCACGCCGTGTTGGAGACCCGTGTGGATCTAGTAGAGAATATATAAGACATGGAGACATTATAGGCGTTGTGGCGTGCGCCTGTAATCCACTGCTAACGAATACGCAGGTTCGAAACTGAGTCACGTCTTTTGGATGGTGACGTTTAAAGGTCGGTCCCCAGAGGTAAATAATAATATCTGATTGATACACGTCTGTAAAAACCCAATACACACACACACACCACATGAAGAAACTATGTCCCTCATCATCGTGGACAATACCGTGTGAGCATGGACCTATTACGGATGGAAATTCAACGTGATTCTTCCTTTGATCCAATGATAGTCGCCGCCTTTTGATTATGTGCATCTTAATGAGAACATTCAGCTGTTTTAACTATAACGACTGCGTAAGCATTTTCGGTCATTGACAAAGGAGCAGTTTCCCTCTCTTGGGTTTGTTTGGATGGTGTGCTATGTAAGAGTGTGTCTTAAATGAAAGCATCCCCAATGGGGAGCAGCAAAGTTGAAAAGCAGACGATTTTGGTGATATAAAATGTATTATTACTGATTCGCACACTTTCGCACATCCCCATGACCTTATAAAACAATTAGAAGGCCATGATCTTTATAAGCCCTGTGCGTTGTAACTCTGGAATATTATGGGGAAAACGGGATTTTAAATCACAAACAATCCAAACAAAACCTATCTGGTAATATCAACATGTTTTTCAAAAATAGAACACAGTACACGGAACAACAATTTCCAATTATTAACCAGAACTGCACATCGATTTCCCATGATTTAAGCGGTTAATTATCTTCTGCGCATGTAGATTACCATGTTTAAAATCACTATCTTAATTCTGTCCCGGCTTGTTGGCGGTGACCATCATGAGATCAAAGGGAAGAAACATGTACAGAATGTTATTGAGAAGACATTGACGGAGACAATCACAATAAATTCTTTAAGAAAACGATGAATGTCCATTCGTAATAGGTCCATGGTGTGAGTAAATAAAAAGTTTACACCTAGAACGTTGCTAATTATTAAAAAAACATCTATAAACAGTAAATTATTATATATCTTATGAAAGAGTGTTCTATCCCAAATCATTCAGTATCATTTTTGTGTGGCATATGTGTTCAAGCTTAGATAAACAGGAGGCATTGTTTGCGAGGGTGCGTATCGACTTGCGCCAAAGTTGCTTATGAGACATAGTTATTTGAAAAGCTCGGTTCCTAAAATGCTTCCGTTTTCATTACCGATTGAAGGGTGTCTCATGACTCTGTGTTGGATACCTGTGTGGATCTGGTAAGAAATGCATCACTATAAAAAAGACGCAGAGACATGTAGAGAAACAATATCCTCCATATTTGTGGACAATATTTTAAGAGCTCATTCCCAAAATGATTTTTTTTGTTTCCTACAAAGAATTTATTCTTATTCGTCTACATCAATATTTTCATTTCCTTGGTAATGAAAAAAATGTTGATAATATCCATAGTAAGTTGGCAAATAAACTAATGAGGCCATGAAATAAATCTGGTGAAATACCCCATTTCAGGTTAGGTCCACGAGAAGCTACATTTACAACTGACCAATTAGAGAGCAGCGTGACATGTGCATACATGTTCACGCCCTGAGCTTCAATATTCCACGCCATCAGAGGGCGGTCTACTGCAATGTGGGCGTAACCAGGGGCACTTCTGGAAGAATTTATAATCAATGCGAGAAATAAAACCGCAACAAAAAGTAAGTCCCCCCCCCCTCCACCCACGGAGCATGCACTCCTCATAATTTCTGAACCGCAAGCTTTTGAACACTTTTACCTAAAAGGGACTGTGTTCGTGCCCCTCCATTAATGAGGGGAAAAAAGAGAAGAAAAGAAGAAATGGAAAGGGAAAGGAAAAGGAAGATGTAACGACGTCCTCAGCCGAAGACTCTTCTAAAGACTAGGGGGTACTTTTTGTTGGGACCTAACAGATATGACAAAGAAACATGACTTCCGTGTATTTGGTAATTGGCATCATTCAGTTCAAGATTAACGTACACATTGAAAGTAAGTTTCCAAAGTTACAATAATAGGGACTTTAGATTTGCACGTTGACAGCTTTGACTGCAATATATGACGTCATTGTAAGGCTCTGCGCATGAGTAACGTCGTCTCAGTCGGCGATCGAGAATGCGTCAACCTTGATTTTCCTAAATCTAGTACGGTACTAGTATATGCCGCGTGCGCATAAAATATACATTTCCTCAGGTAGACAAAGGAACATCCCTTCCCTGCTATTATGTAAAAATGTGTAGAACAGGTGTCACATGCATATTCACCTGTTCTACACATTTTTACATAATAGCAGTGAAGGGATGTTCTACTATGTAGCAATAGGCCATTTTCGTAATCCTAACTGCATACATTAGTTGTTGCCAGGTTGGACAAACATTATGACTTGACCTACCTAGCAACACTTAATATATGCAGTTGTATTCTGACTATTAAAATACCATTATTTCTATCAGGTGAATGAAATAATTTGTACTGAGGCACTTCACAAAAACCTATGCATTAAATTTAGTTACATTACGAAAAGGCCTCTATTGTGTTGAGGGTAGAATGAAAATATATTTGTCCTCTTTTGTCTGTCTGTCTTCATGTTCTGTACTTCCTGCATGCATGTATATCGTCAAGTGCAATCTAAAAGATTCATTCTAATAGTCAACATGGCAGTTGCTGTACGTTGAGAGATGATCAGTCGGCGTTCGTCGTGTTCTCGTCCACTCAATCTAAAAGTCCCTATTATTTACATAAGTGACAGCTTCCAATTATATAATTCCAAGAAACCAACAACAAAATGATGACAAAATTCTACACGAGTCATCACTCATCAGGGAAAGGTTTTCTAATGTACACATTATAGAGGATTGTCATTGATTCTTCATCTTTTCAGAGATTTATTTATAAACTTATTAATACATCTATGTATATGTATGAATATTGTCATGTATTTATATATTTATTAATAATAATGATAATACAAATATGTCTTTTTTTTATATAGCGCTCTCACAATATTGGTTTCTCGGCGCTTTACATGGTTTGAAGGTGGGAACATCAATTAAGTAAATACGCTTCTTAAAGGTGTTCTAGTTAGTATGGATATCGCTTTGCTACGCGAGCCGACAAGTTACCTGTCGCGGCTAGCTGGCGGGGGCGTGTTCATTGCGAGTACACCGTTAGGCATATATGGTAGACGTCTCTATGACGTCTGAAAACAGTTCTTTGAATGGAATTGTTCATCCCTAATACCCCTATTCAACTCAGAACCAGCCATTTAGCCTCCTTATATGAGGAGATTTGCTCACCAATCACGGTGCGCACTAGTTGTACATGTACTGTTATTGTAATATATACATCGGTTCAGGGTACACCCAACGGTGGCATGTACGTCTAGCGAAGAAGAAGAAGAATGTTGCGTATTTTACAGAGAGCCAAAATATAGATGGAAAGACAAGAGAGATTTCTCGAAATCTATGCACTGAAACTCAGTTTGATAAACAAGTCAAAGTACATTTA